TATTTGTGTGGTGTATATATGGTGTGTGGTGTGTATAGATGATGTGTGTGGTGTGTGTGTATTACATGTGAGGTGTGGTACTGTGCGTGTGTTTATATGTGTATGGTATATGTGTGTGGTGTATATAGATAATGCGTATGGTGTGTTTGTATGCATGTGGAGCGTGTCTGATGTGTGTGGGTGTGTCTATGTGTGTATTGGGTGTGTGTTTGTGTCTGTGTGTCTCTGTATGAGGTGTGTGTCTCTCTGTGTATGGTGTGGGGCTGTGTGTCTCTGTGTGGTGTATGTGTGATGTGTGTAGGATGTGTGTGTGTGGTGTGGGGCATATATATCTCTGTGTATGGGTGTCTGTGTTATGTGCATGGTGTGTGTAGGATGTATGTGGTATATGTACATTATGTGTAGGATTTGTGTTTGTGTGTGTGGTGTGGGGTATGTGTCTGTGTGCACGGTGGTGCGTGTGCTGTGTGTGTATATATGAGTCTGTACATGTGTGTGTTCTTCATGCACATGGGGTATGTGGCTCCGACGACATGCCCAGCTGTTACCCAGGCAGCAGCTGCCCCAGAGACCCTCACTCAAGATGTGAGGTGGAGTTGGGGACCACAGGGTGGGAATGGGCAGAAGGGCCCCCCCCACCCCACCCCCTCCCGAGCTGTAGGAAGAGATGATGCAATGCTGTGACAGGCGGCTGAGGAGGAACTGCGAATGTGTGCCCCTCACAGATGAGCCGATGTCCGGGAGACTTCTGTTGCATTTAAAACCAAGACCCCTCCAGCTGCTGACATGCGCTCAGTCACTCCTGGGGGGGGTGCCCACTTGTGCCAGGAATAGCACCCCACCCCAGTTGTAATAAACACAAATGTCCCCAGATATCACCCAGTGTCCCCTGCAGGATCAGAATCACTAATCCCCAAAGAGACTCGGTGTCCCATAATCACCTGACGTCCTGGGATGCTGCCCACGCTGAGATCCACTCAGTGAGTGGGGAGGAGGGAAAGGACGGGTCACAGGTGCCAGAGGATGCCTGCTTGCACCATCTGGCCAGCGGGAGTTGATTCTCCCTAAGGCGCGAGCCAGGACCAAACGAAAATATTTTTCCAAATAATTAGCATAGGCTTTTCTTTGTCAGCACTGTTGACATTTGGGGGCCATCCATCTCTGGGGTGGACGGTCTGGTACACTGTAGGGGGCTGAGCAATATCCCTGGCCTCCACTCACTGGATGCCCCAGTGTGACAGTCACAAATGTCCCCAGACGTCACCCAGGGAAACCCACCGGGGTGAAAGGGCAGAGAAGTGATTGATGTGGGTTGAGTCACAGCCTCCTGGAACGTCACAGGAAATGGTCTCGGGCTGTCATTTCTGGTCCAGTTCCTTCATCTGCAGTCAGGGAAACGGAAGCCTGGAGTGGTGGATGGACTGGGAGTCAGCAATGTTCCAGGGAGACCCACATTCATACCCCAGGACTGCTCATACCCCCATCCCCAGCCAGCTCCTCAGAACAGCACCAACAAAGCTAGCGGCTTGTGATTGGTCACCCGATGAGAGGTCTCGAGAGGGCGCAAACAGGTTACTCTCAGCTACTAACATGAAGGTTGTCTGTTCAAACCCACCCACTTGCTCCATGGAAAGAAAGGTCCAGCAATCTTCAGGAAAGATTTGTTGTCTCTGTGTGATGTCAGAGGCCTTTTTTTAATTAGATTAACAGTCATTTGGGGACTGGGAGCCTCTTGTTTTAAAGCAAATGATTTGAGAAGCTGGACTTTATGAAGAATGTGGCATCAGGATCGGAGGAAGACTCATCAACAACCTGTTTTATGCAGATGACAACCTTGCTTGCTGAAAGTGAGGAGGGTTTGTAGCACTGGTTGCAGATCTAAGAATACAGCCTTCAATATGGATTGCATTTCAGTGTCAAGAAAACAAAAATTCTTACCACTCAATCAATAGGCACCATCATGATAGATGGAGAGAAGGTTGAAACTGTCAATAACTTCGTCTTACCCAGATCCAAAATCAACCCTTGGTACTAGCAATCAGAAGGTCAGGAGACGTATTGCACTGGGAAAGTCTGCAGTCAGGGACTTCTCCAAATTATTGAGGAGCAATGATATCAGTTTGAGGACTAAGGTGTGTCTGCCTCAGGTCATGGTCTTTTCAATCACATGCTATGCATCTGAGAGCTGAACAATGAGTAAGGATGACAGAAGAGTTGATGCTTTTGAGCTGTGATGTTGGAGAAGAGCACTGAACATCCCATGGATGGCCAAGAGAACAAACAAATATTTCTTTTTTTTTTCCTTTTTCTTTCTTTTTTTTCTCTTTTTTCTCCTTTTTTCCTTTTTTTTCTCTTCTTTTCCAAACAAATATTTCTGGGGGAGGATGCAGCCAGAGTGCTCCTTGGAGGGAAAGATGATAAAGCTTCATCTCACATACAACTGGGCATGTTGCTAGGAGGGCTGTTCCTTGGAGAGGAACATGATGCTGGGAAGGGTGGAGGGTGAGTGAAGGAGAGGAAGACCCTCAACCAGGTGGATTGACCAGTCCCTGCGGCAATGGGCTCTAGAGTGTCAGAGATGATGAGGCTGGCACAGGACAGGACGGGGCTCAGATCAGGTCGCTATGGGTCGTACTCGACTTGGGCACCTAACAACAACAGCATGTGCCATTGAGTGCGCACTGCATCACGGTCCAGCAGAAGAGAACCCCACCGCGTCCAGAGCCGGCCTCCAGTCACTCGGGTACTCCAGCCCATTGCTGCAGCCACTGTGACATCGGTTTGCGAGGCTCTCGCTCTGCCTGACTTTCTGCCTCACCCCACGTGGTGTTCTTGCCCATGGGCCAGTCCTTCCTGATGACACCTCCCCGGCAGGTGGGAGGAGGTAGAGAGTGTAGCTCGGGGAGCTGGGCGGAGCACTGTTCTGTCTGACACACACGCGCTGTCGTGAGTCAGAATGGACCCAACAGCTGTGAGCTAATGCTGTGGCCCTGACTTCCCAGCTCCCCACCACCATCGTCAGCTCTGCGTTCCCACTGCTTCCTCATGGGGGGCGGGGCTAACGTGGGCTCTGCAGATACATCGAGGTGCATAAGGCCTTAACCCGCGTGTCATCTTGCTGACCGGCTCAGGGCAGACCATCTGTGCAGAGCAGCACGATGCCCCAGCGAGTGTTCAAAGTGGTGACCTTTCAGAAACAGATTGCCAGGCCTTTCTTCTGAGGTGCTTCTGAGTGGGTTTGAAGTACCAACTTCAGGCTTAACTATCTGTACTACTCCGGGACTCCATATGTCTGCCGTCAGTACTTCCTTATGAATAACTTATTAGATTTCTTGCATCCCAGTTGAAGTCTAATGTCAAGGGTAGAGGGGAGGTTAATCTGAATTCTGGCATTCCCTGGGGGCAGACTGTAGAGCTGTCAAAGAGAAGACTGTACCTGGATTCAAACTCCAGACCTTTCTGGGAACACCTGGGTGTCCTCCTCAGCACCCTCAGTCTCAGTTTCTTCATCTGTGAAATGGGCACACCGTCAAAGTCTATACAGTGCGCCAATGAGATAGTGAACGGGAGCCCTCTTTGTAAACCTGGCTTCTCTTACTATGTGGTTCTTCTTCTCAAGTGTTTTTGTGTTGAGGATTCACGCAATGAGCACCACCTCACTGCTTCTCCATGCACCGCTCAGTGGCACTGAGGACATCCTCCAATTGTACCGCCATTCTCACCTCCTTTTTCGGGGGTTCCTCCCCCATAATATAAACTTGCTGCCCCCAAGCTTCTATTTAATCTTCCGAGTTGCTGTGATCAGTTTGATCCCTTGTATCTTAAGAAGTGGTCAATACAATCTGTAGTTTAACTATAGTGTAAGGAGCAGTAGTTAAGGCAGTGGGTTAAGGCACTAGGGCAGTGGTTAAGCACTAGGCTGAAGTGCTGCTAACCAGACGGTTAATGGTTCGAATCCACTGTGAGAATCCATAGGAAAAAGAGGTGGCAATGTGTGTCCATAGAAATTTACCATCTTTTTAATTATTATTTTTTAATTGAGATTTTAATGAAAGATTATAGAGAACTTGGACTGGTGCACATTTTCCTCCCTGCCCACCCCTCCCCCCCAGTTCACTTTTCTCTTTGAGAGGAAAAAAAAATTCTTCCATTGTTATACAATCCCCCCTCCAATCCACTTTACTATGCAGCTCTTATTCTGGACTCTTGCCATGCAAATAATATCTAATCATATATTCCTTTTAAACAGTTCTCTCTCATCTGTTTCAATGCTGCATATATATTATTTATCCCCTCTTTCCTTAGTTGTCCCCCAAACCCAATGTCAGTCCTGCTTTATAACAGTGGCACTGTGCAGTATTTGTCCTTTCGTGAATGAGATATTTCACTCAGCATAATGTCCTCCAGGGTCACCCATTCTGTATAATATTTCATGAGTTCCTTGTTTTTCAATGCTGCGTAGTAGTATTCCATTGTGTCAATATACCACAGCTTCTCTATCCATTTGTTTGTTGATGGGCACTTGGGTTGTTTCCAGCTCTTTGCTATTGTGAAGAAAGCCTCGATAAACATAAGTGTGCGTAAAAATGTCTGATCTTATAAATCCTGTGAGGCAGTTCTATTCTGTTCTATAGGTTTATTGTGGGTCAAATCAACCTGATGGCAGTGGGTACTATTTGTATTAAAAAAACTTCAGTAAATATTTTTAAGTATTCGGGTTTAAAGCCTCTCCCTGGGCAATAGTTTAGAGGTTCAGCCAGCCTCCATAGCTCCAGAATGTCTGGATTCCATGAGAATTTTAAATTCTATTCTACATCCCTCCCCCCTTTTGATCATGATTCCTCTGTAGAATCTTAGCGTGGCTTCAAGTCTTAAGAACTTCCCCACAAGTAGGGAAATGTTATGATGATTCTCACCCAGTAAATAAAGCACAATTCTCTCTTTCTCTGACTTCCATTCAGAACTCACCTCTGCTCCAAGCATCACCTCTTCCAGGAGCCATGGGGACCACAGAGGCCACGCTCCGGATGGAAAATGTGGACGTGAAGGAGGAATGGCAGGACGAGGACTTCCCCAGGTACGGTGTCCTGCAGAGGGAGAGTGGATCTGAAGCTTTCTGAGACGAGGGCCAGGGCTGCAGTGGCTAGGTTCTCACCTGCTCGGCATTTCACCACCTACAGTCTGTGAGGGCTGTGTCCCTGCGTCCCCTCTGCAGCTGCCCAAGGATCAGCTCAGGCGGGGCCCAAAACAGAAGCTTGCTGAGTAAGTGCTGCGCTCTTTAAGCTGTGTTCCACCCCCAAAGCTACAGAAAGTCCCCGCCTGCACACTATTTCAAGAATTCTGAACATTAGCAATTCTAAACATTTTCTGAGGGAGCTCTGGTGGCTTAGTGGTAAGGAGCTGTGCTGTAATCCCAAAGGCACACGGTTCAAGGCCACCAACGGCTCCATGGGAGAAGGGTGGGCGTTCTCCTCCTGTGCGATTTACTGCCTCTGAAGACCTGCTGGAAGGTCAGCTATGAATTGGTTCTGACTTGACAGCACACAACAACAACGAACGTTTTCTGAGTTCGACGGTGGCTCAGGGATAGAATTCTCGCCTTCTGCATGGGAGACCCTGGTTCTATCCCCAGCCAGTGCAGATCACATGCAACCATCAACTGTCTGTTGGGAGAGGATTGTGTGCTGCTCTGACGATGAACATTTCAGGCGAGTCTCCAGACCATGTGGTGTAGGAAAAAAGGCCTGATGATCTGCTTCAAATATCGACCCTTGAAAACTCAGTGGATCCCAGGGAACTGACCTGCAGCTGACTCAGGGGATGGTGCAGGACTAGGGGTGTTCTGTACCATTCCCCACGGGCCTAATTTCTAGGAGGGGTGTGTGTGTGTGTGTGTGTGTGTGTGTGTGTGTGTGTGAACTGCTGTCTAGGCCAGCCCAGGTCATGGTGACCCTGTCCACAGAATGAGCCTGTCCTACCGTCCTGCCATCCCCTGGACGGGGGGCGAGTTGAACTGTTGTGAACCGTGGAATTTCCGTTGGTTGTTTCAGAAGTCAGTTGCCAGGCCTTTCTTCTTAGTCTCTCTCGGCCTGTTTGGCATCCCATTCACACACAGATCTCCATTGACAGACAAGATTCCGAGCGGGAATCGAACCAGGGTCTCCCACATGCGAGGGGAGAATTCTACCGCTGAGCTGCCACTCACCTGGGTGGGTAAACAGGTGCTGTGAAGCGCTCAGGGTGCAAACGGAGTCACCGCTGTGGAAGAGGTCGCTTCCTGTCCGCCTATGTTCCAGCAGCTGCCTTGGGGGACCTCCCCCTCCAAATCTAGTTGTTTTCAGACCTTTAAATGTCACACTTAATGCTGGTGCCAGTGCTGGTCAGCCGAGAATAGCCCTCGTCTGCTCAGTACCGGCCTGACCGTAGTGGATGTGCTGTGACTTCACACGCCTCGTCTCCACACATCACCGCTGGGAGGCGGTGTCTTCGTCCCCCAGGGATGCTGAGACAAAGCCTGAAGCAGTTGTCTCAATTTCTGGGGGTCAAAAGTCTGAATCCCAGATGCAGCAGGGCCCCCACCCTCTCCAAAGTTGTTCCCTAGGCCTGGGCGCGCCAGCCTGTAGACAGAGCCTCACACGCTGTCTTCCTTTGCCTGTGCTTCTGTTTCCACATCTGCCCTTCTTTTAAATGTTTGAAAGCAGACCCTCGAATCTTCCCCAGTGCAGGGACTCCAAGGTGTGGAAAGCAGTTGTGCAAATAATCCCATGATGCCTCCCCAAATCGATTACTCCACCACCACGCACATAAGCTCCCTGCCTCCAAAACTCAAGCTCCTGTTCCCTCTCCGTCCCCAGGTAACCTGGATGGAAGCTTTGTCTGTCTGCTTGTTTCATGGCAGTGGTACGGACAGGACGTGCCCTCCGCGACGGCCTGCTGAGCTCTGGGCTTTCCAGGCCTGAGTGGCGGCGGCCTGACCTCCTCTCTCTCCCTGACTAGTGTGTCGTGTGCATGTTCACAGACTCTGTCTGTCCGTCTATCTACTGACAAGGTGCCACCATTCAGGGTGTGGCACAGCTAAGCCCTCGTCTGTCCGTGAGTGTTTATTCATAAAACACCACTCAGAAGTGTGGACACGTGTAAGTTAAAGTCGGAATGATGCGGGGAAGAGAGGCAAAGGAAGCTGGGAGCAGCAGCCACGCCTCGGAGCCGTGGCGTTGGGGGAGAGGATGGGCCATGCTGTGACTGCTGGAAGAACAGACATGGCTGTCTCTGAGGAAGTGAAGCCGGGGTCCTCCTTAGAGGCCAGGAGGGTGAAGCGGGGTCTCACACATGTTTTAGGGGGAGCCGGTCCTTGGAAAAAGGCATCACACTCGGGAAAGTAGAGCATCAGGGACAGAGAAGACCCGGAAGGAAATGGATTGACACAGTGATGTAACAGCGGGCGTGAACTTGACAGAGGTGAGGAGGAAGGTGCAGGATGGGGCAGAGTTTCCATCCGTTGTTCACAGGGTCCCTCTGAGGCAGAGGTGACCCGACGGCACCTGCTGTCACACGTGCGCCCTCAGTGTCGTCCCACCAGAACCACCAACTCAGAGCCAACTGCTAGCAGGTGCTCGGAGGCTGTTCATCACCTGGGAAGAGAGAGTCCATCTTTTTTCAGGAGCAGTTGGAAGATTTGAACCGTACACCCCCCACACACACAGGCACCCGGGCTTGGCAGCACAACTCACTCCTTACTGGGCCACAAGAGAGAGTTCTTTAAATAACAACAAAGAATATTAGTGTGATCCAGTTCAAATCCACCAGATGCTCTGCTGGAGAAGGAGGGACAATCTCCTCCTGTACCAATCAGATGCGATTTGACAGTACACACACACGCACACACACACACACACACACACAATAAAATTATAAAAAGAATATTAGCATGATCTCTGCACAAGGATAATGTGCATGTTCCAGAAACACTCCTTATTTTTAAAGAATAAGAATCTTTTAAAGGAAAAGATTAAGATGGAGACTCACCCTCGTGTCGTATGAACGCGTTCACTTGCCTGGTCAGCAATTCAGAGAAAGACCATTTCCCTACAGGTTACACCCTCAGGCCCAGAGCTAGGGCTCCCGCACCTGTTTGGGGGACACAGTCGAACCCAGAGCAGGTGACTGCCGCCTGGTCCTCCCTCCTGCCTGTCTCTTCAGCTCTGAAACTTTCCTCCCCTTTCCACACCTTTCCAGGCATCTTCCTCTCGGACATGTGCTGCTGGCCCTTTACCAAGGGCCCCTGGAACACCACGCATTCGAGAGTGCTTTTTTGTTTTTTATTATTACTAATTTTCATGAACATTTACAGAGACTTTGGATTTCCATTCACTCATTGTTGTACTTTTCTCCCTGCCCACCCCTCCCCTCCCCAGTTCATTCTTCTCTTTGAAAAGTAAAAGATAAATTCTTTCATTGGTATACAATCCCCCCCTCCAGAGTCCACTCCACTGTACAGCCTTCATTCTAAACTCTTGTCATGACCTTTTGCCAAAGGGGCGCCCAGTGCATAAAAGGCCCAGGTGACAGAAAGCCCGGACAGCCGGTTCTGACTGTTCTGACGCTGTGCCTGGCTGCCCAGGCAGAGAGAGGCTTTATAGGAGCAGCCTGCCACGTCTTCCAGCAACAGAACAGCTGGTGGATTCAAACTAGTGACCTTGGGCTTAGAAGCCACCAGCTCAATCCCTGCACCACCAGAACTCCTCCTCCAGGCCTTGGCCACTGATAGAAAGGTTGACAGTTCATGCCACCCGGCGGGACCACAGAAGGGGCTGGCAATCTACTTCAATGAAGTTGTTGACACTCTCAATCTTTTCCCCATCTATCACAATGTTGCCTGTAGGTCTAGTGATAAAATTTTTGTTTTCTTGACGTTGAAATGCAATCTGTATTGAAGACGGCAGTGTTCAACCTTCTGCAGGGCATGAAGAGAACAAACGCTTCTTTAAAAAAAAAAAAGAAGAAGTGAAACCAGGCTGCTCTTTGGAGGCAAGGATTCCGAAGCTCCGTCTGACATACTTTTGGACATGTTGCAAGGAGGGACCAGTCCTTGGAGAGGGACGTCATGCCTGGGAGGGTGGAGGGACAGCACAAGAGGGGAAGGCCCTCTATGAGATGGATTGATTCAATGACTGGGATAATGGGGGTAGGTGTGTCAGAGACAATAAGATTGGCACAGGATAGAGCAGGGTGTAGGGCTGTGTTACATAGGGTCTCTATGAGTTGCAAATGACTTAACAGCACATAACAACAACAACAACAACAATAGCATGTTTCCTAACCATAACATTGCCATCAAGATTGTTCACAGCTTCAGTTTGCTTGGCTCCACAGTCAACACTCTTGGCACCAGCAGCCAGGAAATTAAAAGATGTCTTGCAATGGGAAAGTCTGCTGTTAGGGACATCTCCAAAGTACTGAAGTGTAATGGTATCTCTCTGGAGACTAAGGTGCGTCTGATACAGGCCATGGTCTTTGCAATCACTTGTTACGCATCAGAGAGTTGGACAATGACTAGGAAGGATAGAAGGAGAATTGATACCTTTGAGCTGTGGTTCTGGAGAAGAGTATTGAGGGTACCATGGACTGCTAAGAAAACAAACAGATTCATCCTGGAGAGGGTTAAACCGGGCTGCTCCTTGGAGGCAAGGATTCTGAGGCTTCATTTGACATACTTTGGACATGTTGTAAGGGGGGACCGATCCTTGGAGAGGGACATCAAGCTTAGGAGGGTGGAGGGACAGCGCAGGAGGGGAAGGCCCTCTTTGAGGTGGATTGATTCAGTGACTGGGGTAATTGGGATGGGTGTGTCGGAGACAGTGCAATTGGCACGGGACAGAGCAGGGTTTAGGGCTGTTATACATAGGGTCGCTATAAGTCACAAGCGATTCGACGGCACATAACAACAACAACAACAACAACAAATCAGAAATGAAATGGAGAAGATAAAGATGAATATCGTAGGCACTGGTGGGCCAATAGACTGGTCTTGGGTTATTTTGAATCAAGCAGTAACATGGTCTGCTATGCCAGGAATAA